GTTTTCCCTTCACCATAGGCTTCACACACAAACCGGCCGAAGTTCATGCCAGGATAGCCCGGCTTGAAAGTGCAAAAATGATTAAATTTTGCCCTCAATAGATTCATTGCTTCATTTTATAACTAAAAACGTCCGTTATTAGGACTCAATGAAGGTAAAAAGTACTCAAAATCGAAGTTCAAGAAGATGCTGTCCGAGCACAATCTGGTAACATCACGTGACCTCTTTTAAAGGGACCATCCCACCTTAACATTAGTTTTGAGTTGAGATAGCCAAGTTTGCGGCCAGGCTCAGAAACCACCATTTATCCTGGTCGCAACCCCCGCAGCTTTATGGTGTTCAAGAAATTTCTTCCCTTTACTTGCAGGGTGGGACCAGCTTAGTCCCTATCTCTTAACCATTAGCGGTTTGTTGATGACGTCAGCAGTCATTTCAACGCCCGCCATTCCTTGAACCCGAGTTTTGCTGACCTTGAGCTCCCTTTTTTATCATCGTGAAATCCGTCGTCGGCGCTGAGAAAGCCTATTGCTTTTCATTTTAATTTGAATATTAGATGATACCCACCACTGGAACTTGGACTGATATTATACCAAGGCCGAAGATGATCAAGCTGCCTGCTATATCTGGAGCTTGGTGTTCAACTTCAACATGGAATGAAAAACAAAATATCAAAGCAAACTGGATATGGTACTGCAAGTTTAAGTCCAAAGAAATTTGAAGAGCTGACAATTGACATTAATTCTTTTCCCGCAAGGTTTCCATAGGAGATCACACCATGAAGAAATATTTTTGATGTTAACAGTTGAAAGGGGATTGATCTTCCAGTTTTGACGAAAGACGCTGCTGACTGTCTTTGGAAAAGGATGTCGGCATGAGGTGCAATTGTGCTTGTGAAGTGGTTATAACTGGTCTTTTCACAGTGTTAAATTAAATGTGCCATTGCAGCCAAGTGTGTTATCATGTAAGGTAAAATCAAAACTACAATGTTGGTTTTACGAGCATTGAGAAGGCTGGTAGGTAACACCTGCCTGTGCTCGTAAATCATGCTGCCAAAGTATTCTAAATTAATTTTATCATACACTTTTGTTGTCCAGAATGGTTGCACTATTGTTTGGTATCATATTATTCCATGTACAGTCTGTCTTAAAAGTACCGCGCAAAGTGGCGGTGGATCCATCAAGCCTGACCGAGAAAGGTCTGCTTTAATTTGAAAGTCACCGAACCAATTGAGCTGGGGAATGGACGAGGATGTCCATTGCTTCGGTGACCCAAATTTAGCAGGCCCTTCCTCAGTCAGGCTCGATGGATCCACCGCCACTTTGCGCGGTACTTTTAAGACAGACTGTACATATGGTAGTGTTACGTCCGACCAACATGTTACCAGATTTGAAGCTGTTACGTTACCTAAGTACCTAGGTACCTGTTTTTTTACTGGCGTGGTGAATGTCACCTGGATTTTGTTTTGAGGTGCAGACCTAGTAACTCTGACTACATGGGTTTGAAGCTATTATCTATTCTGTTTTTACTGGCCTGGTGAATGGCGACTGATGTTGTCCGTGGATGGCACTGAAACAAATTTTGAGTGTCAACTGCCATGTACAGTGTTTTAATACAATGCTGAGGGCTGAAAGTTGTCTTGTTTAGAGTGGTGAAAGTTCAGGATATGCCAGCCACCATGGTGGGTCAGAGTTAATGTGTTGCAGTCAGTTCGGCTTCGGCAAGCACACGGATGGGCATACGCATCAAGACCTGCTCTGCCATACTTTCAGCCAATTTTACCTAGGCAAGTCTTTTCTTTTTTTTCTGCCAAAAGCTATGACATTGTGAATTTCAGTGCTGTGGCCTGTGTGTAGCTTTCAGGAAAGCAATTCTAAATAAAGCTCTGATAAAGTGCATGAAATCAGCAATGCAGCCAGACTGCAACAAGATATTGACGTGCTGTATAAGACCTCTCTGTCCTGGGGCTTGCGCATGAACAAGGCTAAGTGTGCGGTGTTGAGATTTTCCCGGAAGTTCTGTAGCCAATCTCAGCCGTTGTACACGTTAGACGGTACACCACTTCCGATCCATCACTCGCAGCGTGACCTAGGAGTGTTGGTCGATGATTCGTTAAAATTTCATCTACATATAGCCACTGTAGTGCATAAGGCCGGTGGACTGTGTCACAATTTTAAAAAGGCTACAGTTTGTCGATCACCCGCATTCATGTTGTTCCTTCTCAGGACGCATGTAAGGCCTGTGCTTGAGTATGCGTCTTGTCTGTGGTACACCGAATATGCTGAGGATGTGCGTAAACTAGAAAGGGTACAGCGCAGATGGACAAAACACATTGAAGGGATGCATGACATGACTTATGCGGAGAGGCTGAAGGAACTTGACCTTTTCTCTGTGCAAGGCCGACTAATTCGCGCCGATCTGATACAGTACTGGAAGATTTTCCATGGGAAGAGCACAATAACCCCTGAGGACATTTTCCATCAGCCTCCCCGAGGTGGAACTCGTGGTCACTGCTTCAAGCTGCATGTAGCACGTGCTGTTTCGAACGTGCGGCAGCGCTCGTTTTCGCATCGTCGGGTGGCTATCTGGAATAGTTTGCCAGAGGCCGTGGTGGCCGCTTCAGATCTGTCGTCTTTCAAACGACTTCTCGCACAGGCACTAGGTAACACATTGTACGACTACATCTGACTCGCGATATTTGTGCAAACATACCGATAAGTGTTGTTTTCCAATGGCATATGCCACGAGGACACACACTCTCCAGTCATCTGGCCATATCTACAGGACATCATCGTGGGGAGACTGTGACTGGCGTGTCCTGATCCTATCCGGGTTCCTCCTGCTCCAGTCCTTACTACCGGCTGCGAAGCAGAAGGAGCCCCACCAGGTAAGAGTACCAGGTAAGAGCCCTCTATTACATTTTCTACATCTTACTTGTTCCTTGCATTGAGAGAAAAATGCAATGTTATGAATTCGTTTATTCACATAATTTGACAAGCATGCAGTTACCTGCTACTATCACTGCACAAAACAGAGCAGAAAACATCAGTTGATCAAACACAAGACACAACAGAAGTTTACAACATAGGCCTGCCGAACCTGCTTCCTCCCACCACAGTTGATGCCATTTCCTAGCCTGGCTTGATGTGAGCACTGAATAGCTGCTTTGTCTAATTACAGCTCACTACCATTCAACTTAAACTACTCTCTTTAAAGTAAGAGTGAGAGCGTTCAGTGTTCATAGCAGCTCGACAGACGACAGACAACAAACATCTTGACAAACCAACCAGTATTTGATTTGGCTAATGATTTATGTGCCTGTTGTATCATGGCCAAACTACTTTAACAGCAATAATCCCTGTTTCATCTTGATCTTGCTTTTAATTCCATTTGAACTCAGATCTTGAAACAATCATCTGAAGTGATATCAGATACTGGCTTCTGTTTCTCTTGAAAGCAAGTTAAAACAACAATGATAAACTAAGGCAGGAGATGTGAGTTGTGGCAGTAGATTTTTGATTCAACATATGTCAACCTTATATTGCTTGAGACCTCTGTGACAGACAAACAAATATTTATAGTTTTTCGATAGTTTGGATTCTTGGCTTGATTTTGCAGATCAGCTGTGAACCTTGACTTTGAAATCACATAAATGTCATGGTACCCGAACGAATCCTCGCATGACATTTCTTCGTCCGCATTTCTTCGTCTACAAATCTTCGTCGGTGCATTTATTTGTCCATCAATGCTTACTCTTGCATATATTTGCGTTGAAGAAGAAATGCGAGCCGATTTTCATATACACTGATGCGAGACAAAGTAATGCGATACGAATAAATGCCCTGACGAAGATTTGCAGACGAAGAATTGCGATACGAAAAAATGCCATAAGAAGAATTGTCCTGGAATCCTTTGTTGGCCATCATATATTGACCTTGATAAGATAAACGCATCATTCGCGCAATATTTGTCGCACTTTGATACCAAATTATTGCTTCCAAATGCCGACGTAAAGAAAACCTTTATGTGACGTCATAGAAACAGCGGAGTTCCCAAAAAGTAAACAAAAATAAAAGTCTTATATCTCGAAAACGGTTGAATATTTTCCGGTAAAATTTGGTAGATGTTCATTTTCGCTCTTTGTGATTCACGCTACATCACTTTTATGCCAATTCATTAACTTTTTTGAAGGTGGGAGGGTCCCTTTAAGCAGAATGTATATAATTCAAGGATGTTATTACACGATTGCTGCCTAAAACATCATAAATAATACGCTTGTAACATTTATTGCTTCTGTTTAAGTCATAACATTGCAAAACGCAAAGTTTATCATGGAAGTCACGTGACCAAAGGTATAGCAGGGGTTGGGACAAGCACTCAAAGGATTTCAAGTTTTTTAATTAAATTATATAAGTTTCATGATGAAATTGAAAGAATGTATTTTTTCCTAATGAAATACAAATTTCCGTATGTAAAATATTTTCCTTATGGGCGAAATTCTCCATATAAGAAATGTCAGTGACGTCACCAGGGCTTTACTGGGCTTTACTCAAAACATCGGACCTACCTGTTTCTTATAGGTATCTTGGGCCGGCGAGCGCCTGATAGGGCGCATGGCCTTGAAGTTTGCTTGAAGTTGGGTCATGAACTGCTTTGTGCTGCCACCTATCGACGGAGGTGGCAACTGATTGTTTCACCTTCTAACCGCTAGGTAGACATACAGCAAATTCCACTGGATGCGTTTCCGAAATTGTTTGCTGGCTGGTCTTCTGACAATTCCAAAACGCAATTGTCAATCGACTGTGGTAAACAAACTGAATGGTCGCCAATCACTTCCAATCTCGTCAACCATATGCTTGCAACACACCACGACCCATTCCTTCTTCACGAGATGTTTCCTACAGGCCTGCAGTCGGCCCTCCTTACTTGGCCTCCTCCAGAACCTTGGCCTCCTCTACCCTTACGTGAGTTCAGCCCCTCCCATTCGCAACGACACACAAGCAGCATATACAAATAGTTTATTCGCAGTAGCGTATCGCCACTATAGTACGCTCGCGACGGGACTTCTAATAAATTTCTCAGGTACACAGATGTTGTTTAAAATCCTCACAGAAAGCAGACTCTTCGTCCCAGTAAAATTGTTTGACAGTCAGACTCGCGTCGAACACAGTACGTATTGTTAGGTTCCGCCAGACTGACGCAGCGGGTAAAGCATGCTTTCGGCGTCCCGCTGTCAGTCAAAGCATCGTCAACATCACACTCAGAACATGATTGCCAACTGACTGCGCACATCGTGTCCTAAACGAGAGCTAGGTACCGGCTGCAGCAGCAGCTCTGAAGCCAAAACCATTTTGACTCACTTGTCAACGCTGTCAAAGCAGCGAGCATCAGAGGGAGGAAGAGGGTCAGATCGCCTTAGTTCACAGTTTACTGAAACTCATCGGCTAGTCCCGACCTGGGCATAAAAGGGACTAACAGAGGGTCACCTTACAAAATATACAATCAAATGGTGACGGGTCCGCCCGTCAATATTCGCGGATATTCATTACACTAGCACCTGCGGGTTAGCGTTGACCGTATTCAGCAAACCGCCACGCCCGGCGGTGACAGTTGCGGAGCCCTGGTCACCACAGCTTTCTCCTGAGCTGGTCCGAGAAGACGCCAACGCAATGCGGGGCAGGAGACAGAACTGAACGGTGTACCGTCCCGATACGTTCAGCGGTCCGGGCTTTGAGAAGACTTACTGCCGCTAAGGAAGCAGCGAATAGACGTACATTTCGATAAAGCGGGCCCGGTCCGGACGATAAAGGAACACTTGACCGTGTCACACTCCTTCCCTTCCCCTTTCCCCACCCTCAAACCGCCGTCTTCTGAGACTCATTCAGAGAGAGCCGTGTGCCCGCAGCCCCGTTCGACCCTCACAAAGCGTAAAGCGTCACCGCCTGTCCCGTGTGTTAGCGTCCCGTATCACCCTTTTGACTTGACTCAGGGGCCTGCTGGCGTCAGGGGACGCCTCCACGCCCGGTAGTTCGTACCTTCACGGCAGCGGACTGGCAGCGCAGCGCTTGGTGACGTCACTGACTGGTGTGACGTCACAGTATCTCGGATGTCAGCGGCAAGCAGAGGACACCAGGCGGGCGATGTCTTCATGTATGCTCTTCATGTATGCTCCACCTCTGCCGCCACGGATAGTTCAAACTTCGATGAAGCGTCATGTATATACGTGCCAACTCCGTCAGAGCACCAAGATGGTCCTCCGCGCGCCACAAGCGTCCGCCACACGCCGCGGCGGCGCACATTAACCACTCACACAGCTATAAAACTTCTCACGCAGTCTCACACCGTTCGGCGCGCTGTCTCTCCGAGGGTCCACCGCGCACCTACGACATGGAGGAGCAGGGCATGTGTGGCGAGCCCATCTGCGTGAGCACCCGGTCCAGCCACTGGAGCGGTCCGTTCAGGTGCAACTCGATCCAGCAGGGCGTCGAGGTGACGATCTGCCGCCGGTACTCGGCGCCCCAGCCCTTGACGAAGCTGATCCGAATGGTGCACATGCGCGTCAGGCTGTAGACGGCCTCGAAGCCCTGGTTCACCGACTGAGCCAGCATCGCCGCGAACTCGAGGTTGTTAAAGATCTTCAGGTTGCATTCTGCAAGGGGAGGAAAGAACAATGTTTTAGAACATGTGGATTGTGGCCTGTGGGTAGGCGTGGGAGTCAATGTGCCACCTAACGCAAATGCTCAACAGCAGAACAGAAAAATACAAATACTTGATGAAGGACGAAAGAAATAAAAGACGAAAGATAAAAGAACACTTCATAGCCCCCTCCTTTCCTACAGCACGAAGGCTGACATCAGTTAAGTAATTTTGGACAGTAAGGCCCATTTACTAACCGCAACAAACTTCACTCACTGGATGGTATTTTACAGACGGTGGCCGGGTGCCAGCCAAACCGGTGATTGCAGTTGGGTGACTGGACAAAGATAGCCGACTCGCTCAGACACTCGGCAAACACCTCACCGCCTGGAACACAGAGTAATGCTGGTCAAACACGGACAGCCCTATTGAGCAGCAAAAAAAGTGACTACAAGCGATTCCTACTTCCTACACGTCCCAATTCATCAATCAACATTGTCCTTCCATCCCCCCCCCCCCGAAACCGATCCCTGTCGCTCCCATCCGCCCTGCAGCCGCCGTCCCGCCCCGCTCACCGATGCAGTAGAAACGGACGCCCTGACCGTCCCACCCCGCTCACTAATGTAGTAGAACCGGACGCAGTGTAGTAGAATCGGACGCCCTGACCCAACCCACCCCGCTCACCGATGTAATAGAACCTGACGACCTGCCCCCCCCCCCCTCACCGATCACGCCCTCGCCGCCGTTTTGTCCCGCTCACCAATGTAGTAGAAGCGGACGCCCTACCCCCCGTTCCACCCCGCTCACCAATGTAATACACCCTGACCCCCGTCCCACCCCGCTCACCGATATAGTAGAACCGGACGCCGTGTAGTAGAAGCGGACGCCCTGCCCCCGACCCACCCCGCTCACCGATATAGTAGAACCGGACGCCGTGTCCGATGTTGCGGCGCGTCTGCTCCACCACCGGGTTACGGTTGATGTTGCTCAGCAGGCCCAGGCAGAAGCGGTCCGAGCTGCTCGGGTCCGTGAACCCGTCCACGGTCAGGCTCGGCTGGGACGCGTGGAACGTCTCGCCGACGCGGCTCGACAGCTCGTAGTAGCTGACCGAACACCAGAAGGTGGGCTCGCAGTAGGTCACCGGCTGGGCATCCATGGTGACCACAGCGGCCGCCGGCGACGGAGGGAGACCGCCTGCGGGGGGAGGGGAGGTCAGGGGGTGAGCGGCGACCGGGGACGGAGACAGACCGCCTGCCGGGGAGGGGGGGGTCAGAGGGTGAGCGGCAGCACGCGACGGCGCAGACTGCATGGGGAATGGGAGGAGGGTGAGCGGCGGCGACAGGGAGCAGCGGTCAGAAGTGATAGCCGGGTGTCAGCTGCACGGAGAGGATTGTGGGTCAGGTTGGCCAAAGGAAGTTATCAGTCGCCTCCGGGCAGAGATCAGAATGTGACCCCGGTTGATTGCCAGGGGAAGGTTAGAGGTCAGGCGACCACGTGAGAGTGGACGGGCGGGCGGGAGCAGAGGTCAAGTGAATAGCTGACGTCGGCTACATGAGGGATGTAGGGGTTAGAAGGTGACCACAGGGAGGCACCAAGCTCCGCAGTCAGGGCGACAAAGACAGGCGGTTTATACAAGGGTTTAGTTCACACTTGTGAGTTGTGAGTACTCTAAATACAAATCAAAAGGAGAAACGTTAACTCACATATTAAATAACTGCCTAAAGAAACATCTTTATTCTAACAATGGAGCTTACATAGGCACAAAGCATTCAGTAAACGGCGGCAGATTGCCCTATGCCACCCACCCGCTGCCCTGCGCCTCACGGCCTATCCTGTGCACACATCTCAACTCACTCTCATTCCTGTCGCTGTTGTCGCCATCCTCGGACATGAACGAGGTCGGTGGCGAGTCGGGCAGCGAGGTGGCCGGGGAGCCCATGGCGCCGGGTCTGGGAGACGCAGCAGCCGGCCGGCGGCGCTCTCAGGGAACCACGAGAGGAAGACAGTCGGCTGCCGGACTGTGCGGGGTCTGGTAGTTCAAACTGATCTCCGAAATACGACTGATGCTAGACGAGATCGGCAGACTTCTTGAAGGAGCAAAAAGGCGATGCCACCAGTCGCACTGAAACCAAGAACGAAAAATGGTCAGGTGATACTTACGTTGATAAAATAGAGATCAGAGTGAACAAATTAGCACGGAAAGCACCATTATCATCATCTGCGATAAAACCCGTTGCGCGATGCACACCGACGTGAGGCCTTAAAATTCACATCAGCACTTTTACCGCCAGAAACCTGATCCCTAGGCCACACATTGTCCGAAAAACATTGCCTTCCAATTCACTCCTCTCCACGCCTCTCATGACCCTTCTTCACTGCGCCTGGCACTCAGCACTCGGCAGCGTGCCCTGCTCACGGTGTCAGCGGCGCCACTGCAGCCGGGCGCCGCCAGCCAACCCAGCACCGCGCCAGCGTCACTGCTGAACTCAGCACTCCTCAGAGGTCGCGCTGGGCGGTACAGCACGGCGGTGGTCACCGAATAGAAGGGCTCACGGAGGCGTGGAGTGTGGTCACATGATGCTAGAGGGTGACTAGAGACAGTGGGGGCTAGGAATAAAAGGTCTGGCAGGTTAAATTGTTGTGTGCACAGCAATGTGGAATGACTAGCTTATTTTGTGCGACTTGCTTCAAGATAAATAAAGAAATGACTTTCATGTATTGCATTGGTATATTATGCTTTCTCCAATTTTCATGCATTTGCCTATTTATGCAAAAAAAGTTGTAAAACAGCTGCCATTTCTGTAAACTTAGCTCTTATGTTTGAATGGCCAGACTGCATGCTAAGCAGAAGTTATTGCACAGGCCCTGACTACTGACCTGACCTCTATGATATAGTCAGATAGTTCTGAGTTATCAGAATAATTTGGATGCCAGAATTTAGCATGCTGGGCAAAGCTGGATACAGTCCATTCCACTCAACTCACTTCAACTAACTCATGCTTGATGCTCCTATAAGCTTCTGTCAGTGGTCTAATATATTGAGCACTATAGAGAATGGTGCCCAAAGCCAATGGCCCATGAGACTTTCACCACAGAAAGTCAAATATTTTTTGCCCAACCATCCTAGCTATGAGGCAGGCAATGATAGCTTAAAAGGTGAAAGTGACGAATATAAACAACATTTCAATTGATTTTTAAAATGTAAAAATGCTTATGGTTGACCAATGTCCCAAAGTTTGTCGATTTGGGTGGGAAACGACATCCAAATGAAATTCATTTTCCACTCTCACCACCAATTTTTAAGAACAATTTTCCACTCCCAACCAAGAAAACCTAGATTTTTACCTATAGAAAGAGCAGTTGTGTGGATGCCCGGTTTAGCATCAAGCATCCTACATTCCTACACCTTAGAATAAAATGCATGTTTTTTGTCGTTTTTCACTCTTTTTTGGATCTAATCGAATCAGCAGTTTTTCACTCTCTCCCCTCTTTTTTATGGGTAATTTTCCCCTCTGACACCCAAGACAAAACTCAATTTTGGGACACTGTGGTTGACAAAGTTTAAATTTAAGGAGCACAACTAGTTACCAGCAAGTAAGCATAAAAACAATGAACTCATAATTAAATTAACTCTAGAAATTGATTATCAGTAAGGACAAGGAGCTAATACACAAACTTCCATATTCCAAAGGAGAAAACATAGATATTAGGTAGTAGGTACCTACAGTAAAGGCTTTATTACATTACAATTCAATAACAGTGCTGTGATTCAATACAAATTACCATGGTGTTTTACTGACACAACAAATTCAAACATAAATGCTACAAGAAATACCTGTTAAAAATGCACACTGTAGGTGAAAATCATTTTTCACCCATGTGATTGTAGCATTTTTCACGAAAAGCTTTCAGGTCACCACCTTGTGAACAAACATGCCTATTTGCGCAGTGAATGTCACTCTGGACTGGAGCATAATGGTAATTGGTATGTAGTTCAAGTTTGCAAGTTGACTGCTGACTGGGCAATCAAGAGTTGCCAGCAATTATTTGGAAGATGTCCAGTGCTTGAGATTGAAAAACACAACTTACAAGTGGGACTATATTTCAACTTTTTAGCAAAAGGCATGATCATGCACGGAATACTTACTGGCCTTAACTGACCACATTTGTTCTTCACGTTCGCTTTACAATTTACATGGAAACTCAACACCAAATGTAAGTAAAAATAAAATGATTTTGTTTTTGCCTAAACCAATAGACATGAGGCCCCAGCTCGTCATTTTCAGATCAATTCAATTCAGGTTGTTTGTGTTGAGCTAGAGCTTTTTACCCTTTTGTTTTCATACCAACCCTGAAGAAAACAAGCTCACCGTTCAAAGCAGGAACTTGAATTACCGAGAGTGCAACAGCCTGGCTCAGGTGTGAGCATCAAAAGACTTAAGAATCGCAGTCCGAATAATTAAATATTGCGATTTTTCCTACTAACCCAATGACCTATTTCAGCAAAAAAATAACTTTACGATGGTAGACAAATGCGAAGCAGTAAATGTCTACAACAGCTGACAAATATGCTTCCAAACTTTAGCTTCCATATCCTTTGTTTTGCTTTCTTGAAGGATTTTGGAAAATGTAGAAAAGGTGACTGTTGAACTGACAGATTGAAAAGCAATTTCCTTCAATTGTGTTACCTTATTACACTTACTGAACTTTTTTGTACAATATATATTTGTCAAAAAAATAAAAACTGGGATCAGGGTCTTGTGATTTCCCAGTCGGTAAAAAATATTACCTTGTGTTCATCTCCATAGCAACCGATGATCGTTGCGGTTGCTTGACAGCTGATTGAGATCAGAGTATATAGATTGAGATCATGAGATTGAATGGCACTTCCCAGGCCCGCGATAAGGTCGTGTCATAAGTGCTTTACAAGCAGTCAATAATCGGCGGTTCAGGGTTTAGTTGTGCTATGTGATTTACCGTTTTATTGTATGTAGTCCTGGCCAGACTCAAGCCCTGAAATTGAATCACACGGACCTGAATTACACTTGGTACCTAAACCGTAACCTGAGCTTGAAATAGCCGGCTACAGCTTACAAGACGGTCATTTACAGTTTGTTTACAGTGGCGGTAGCTACGATGTAAGCATGGAGTCCTTGCGGTCTTATTTTTCAATTTGTTCCATAGGACAGTTTTATGCTACGCCACAGTGTATCCAGCCTAAATGTTTCTTGTAATTTACCTTGTTCTGTGCAACATATCATTTCAGCTTAGCGATCGCATTTCAAAACGATGACCGGGAAAGACAAGGAAACAGTAACAACCAAAAAGGTAACTGTCACAACATCCGATAATGTGTCCTCGTCGAGCGAAGAATCGTCTTCGGAGGAGGAGAGCAACGACCGCTTCAACGACCCGGCCACCGACCTGCCGGCCGATTACTGGCAAATTCAGAAGCTTGTTAAATACCTCAAGGTATGGTATTCGCGTGGAGGTGTTTCTGTAATGTTGCGCTTATTTTATAACATGCAAGCACACGTATCCCTATTCTGTGCGCATTCTAATGCACATATTTATTGTGACGTTCAGCGCATTTTGTATTTGTCCGCGCTGTCGAAAGGTCCGCGTCGTTTGACGGTCGCCGGTCGCGTATGACGCCGATTCTGTCTGCTGTTACAGGCGGGCAACCAGACGGCCACCGTGATCGCACTGTGCGCACTGCGGGACCACCCCATCGACCAGGAGGTGTGCCAGCTGGCCCTGCGAGACGTCGGCGGCCTCGAGGTGCTGCTCAACATCCTCGAGACCAACGACGTCCGGTGTAAGGTCCGACAATGAGCACTCTGGCTTTTCGGGAGCTTAGCAGGGTATATTGAGGTTCGAGAGTGCCGTAGATACGACACATGACTGTCTGATTCTGGTAGCGCTCGTTGAAAGCCGTTATCGTACAAAGTTATCGTCTATCGGACGTTTATATGTGCCAAAGTCTTCAAAGCCAGGTTCGACCAACCGAGTACCTATGTCATGCAAGGTTATTGCAAGGCCCTAGTTAGAACGTTGTCAAACATTATGTAACATTTTCATGTCCTTATTATTTTAGACTTATGCTTCAGTATTGATCGATCCATTCTATGGGCCTGGGGCGGTGAGTGGGAGGGAGGTGAGGTGACGTTTGGGGATAAGTGGGGTCGCCCTCGGGGAATTGCCGTCCTTCTGAGCTAGAAATAACGGCAGAGCTGCCTGCCTTCTTCACATGGTGTCGATTTTCACGCGTTATGCTCGGCGCGACACAATCATACAAAGCTGATTCCCGTGCAATTTATGTGAGTACACCAGTCAGCAAGTGGTATCTTCAGTGTGAAAGCATTCGCTAAAGACGCTGTCTAATCTATTGGAAATTAACTCGAGTTCATCGTACACTGTCATTGACATCAATTCCACCGTATGTCTCCGACCGGTCTGTGGGGAACTACAAGTGCCGTATTTAGCTGTGGCCAAGCCCGCCCGCCAAGGCGCTGTGGCCCGCCGCACTTGCGTGTATTGCGGAACAGTATCTTCACTGTGGCGAGAGCCGCTCGTATTTCATGAGCTGGGGAGGCGGAGCGATGGTGTCACAGCGATACCAACGTCTATCGCAACCGACTGTTTCGTTATAATGGCTGTTAAGGATGACAGTAAAACGAGTGTGCTCCGCCATTTCCCCTGATCATGAGGTCGTCTTTTCTCTGATCATCATCGGATCATCATTCGCCGTCTGTTTCGCTGCAGATCGGCTCACTGAAGGTGCTGAAGGTGATCTCCAGTCACCCGGAGGTGCGCCGCTCTATCGCCAGTCTGGGCGGCCTCGAGACTCTCGTCACACTCTTCAGCAGTCCGTCCAACCAGCTGAAGGCGCTGGCTTCCGAGACCATCGCCAACGTGGCCCAGTTCCGCTGGGCGCGCCGCATCGTCCGCAAGAGCGGCGGAGTGCCCAAACTGGTGGGTGCCTGGGGAGGGGTGCCCTGAAATCGGGGACCTCATTGTACTAACTACGATATATTGTGTGGATATGTTACGGCCGGTTTGAGAACTCGGCCCTCCGGTGACCCCGTCAGTATTGATACGGCCCGGGCAGTATCAATACGGACCGAGTTTTTAAACGGGCCGTAACAGATACACGATCGTCTAATTGAATCTTTCTCGGATGGTCATACAAGGGACATAAGTCGTTGTTTGCCCGTATGCTATGCGTGACTGATACTGATACGCCTTATTGGTCGCCTTATTGGCTTGACGGACCTGTGGTGATGTCAGACTTTACAAGGGATCTGGTGTAGCGTCACAATTCAGCCATGTTCACAGGCTCGAGGCGATTATTTGTACTTGACTGCCCCTTTCAACTGATGTGTGATGTCGGACACCGGTCAGGTGGACCTGCTGGACGTGGACAAGACGATCCTGATGGAGCCCATGGAGAAGCTGACCACCAAGCAGCGCGAGAAGCTCGAGGTGGCGCTGGGCGGCGCACTGGCGCTCTGGTCCCTGGCCAAGGCGCGCAAGGTGCGTATGCCTCAGCGCTGCATTTGGTCATTCATTTTGGCCCGTCGTGACAGTGGCTTGGATGCTACTGAACTGGTCTTCGAAGAGTTTAGTATAAACAAAAATAAGTCAGCGATAAGCGATGAACAAGTCGGCATAATTAATTGTAAATATTATGGCACATGATCTGAAGCGCACTGCATTTAGGCTTACAATTCAGCTTACATTAGGCTTACCCTGTTCAGCATACTGCCGCTCCAATGTATCTTTGGCACTTTACCTTACCTCCGTTTTCACTTTACCTTTAGGCGAAGGAGTGCATCCGCCAGGCGGGCGGTAACACCCTGCTGAGCGGTATATCGGTGCATGTTTCAGGTAAAGGAGTGTATCCGCCAGGCGGGCGGCATATTCACCCTGCTGAGCGGTATATTGGTGCTCTTTTCAGGTGAAGGAGTGTATCCGCCAGGCGGGCGGTGTAACGCTGCTGACCGGTGTATGGCGGGCGTGGTAACGCTGCTGACCGGTGTTATATGTTTCAGGTGAAGGAGTGTATCCGCCAGGCGGGCGGCATCACCCTGCTGGCCCGGCTACTGCAGTCGGTACACACAGAACTTCTCATCTCAGTCATGGGCATCATTCAGATGTGCGCTTCTGAGGTGAGTCAAGGACCAGCCCCGGGTCTCGGGAGGCGTAGGACTGGAGCTGGCAATACTGTTGTCAGTTAGATATAAATGGGTTTCAGAATGTCCGACGCAATTAAAGGACTTCTTGATACTACTGTATTTTTGTTTTCATCAAATTGTACGACAATATGAGCCGTTTGACAATATATTGCAGCAAGATGAAGCTTCGTGCTTACGTCCTCTATCATTCATGTCGAATGTGGATGTTTTGTAGCCCAGCAGGTGATATGCGACGCTCAGTGAATCTCAACAGTAATTGTCCGACCGCGGTGTTCACCGTACCCGACCATCCCGAGCTCTGTTGATGACCAGCGCCTACTGCTTCCACAGGAGAGTTACCGGCTGGCCATCCGCGAGGAGGGCATGACCCGTAACCTGCTGGACCATCTACACAAGGACAACATCAAGCTGCAGATTCACTGCGCCTACGCCATATTCCAGGCACGTTTCTCCTAGCCTCGGAAGGTTTTCTCATTTCTGACTAGTCGGGACTTATTAAGTCGGCGCTCTCTAAAGCGTAAATAAACACACAATTCGGGTGGTTGCATTTGGTATGATTCTTAGCTGGTTAAACGTGGTCATAAAACGTTTTCCTTTTTCTATTCTCACCGACTTTTCAAATCGTCATTCAATCTTCGCAAATTTGGAGGTGCAATTGTCGCGAAAAAAAGTTTTGCGTTAAACCGGCGATCTAAAGCCCCACTGGCTCTTCTCGCATGTTGCCACTCCCCTCATCCCCATGTGTGCCGGCCGGCAGTGCGCCGAGGACCGCGACGTGCGGCGCATGGTGCGTGAGCTGGGTGGCCTGGAGCGGCTGACACAGATGCTGCAGCTGCCGGCCGCCAAGCAGGACCTCTCCATCACCATCTCCGCCACGGGAGCGCTCTGGAAGTGCGCCGTCGACCCGCTCAACACCAAACGGCTCAACGGACTCGGCATCGTCGATATGCTCGTGCCGCTGCTCAATAACGAAAACGAACAGGTTAGTGTCATGAGGTGGTATGGAGACTGGAGAGCATGGTAAAACCTAAGCTGTGGCGGATGATAGTGTTTTTGTTATGATGGTCTGGAGGTTTTGGGTATCTCCCCTTGGCACGGGGATCGACTGATACACTCAGAAAACACTTTGAGAACATTTTTGAATAAGGGCTCATATGAGTGCCAAAACAGGGCTCAAATCTGTATGATTTTAAAATCGGGATCAGTTAGGCGCCCTTTTCGGGCTCAAAGTACATTAGCCCCGAAAGCGGCATCAGTTCGTCTTCCTTTTCGGGCTCAATTCGAGCTGCGTTTTAGGGCTCCATACGACATTCCGCCCAAGGCCCTATATACCAGGTAGGGTCGTC